TGAGGCACTGTCCGTGGTGCTGAGGAATAGCAGGGTTTGGTTGAGCCTCCAGTGGAGGAGCACGCAAAGCAAAATAAGAGCGGTTTTTGATGAGTGATGGCTCAAAACCTCGATGATGTGCAGAATTCACTTTGGACTTTCTGAACCAATGTTTCTGAACTGCTCCAGAATTTGCTAGCATACATTCTTAAGCATCAGAGTTTAAGATTGGAGAAATCCCCAATTTTCATCAGCATTACACATATGAATCACTCAGTACTTATGAAAATATTTTCCCTGTTCTTTCTCCTAGAGGAACAAGCTGTTTTAAGAGTTGCTTTTTGTTTTCATTTTCACAAAGCTGCAAAATAAATCTGAACTCCACACAATGGTCTTAAAAATTGTATGTTAGGGTGGGTGGGAATCTCCTCACCCTTCCCTCACAAAATAAATGCCACATAGGATATAATATCTTCATCAGTGCTTTATCATCTTTGTTATCTTTTTCTAGAAGAAGAGAAAGGCGTGTTGCCTGTGTATGCATGATAACCTGACAATGCCAAAGAACTAACACTATTGAGAAATGAACTGAATCAATGACCCTCAGGAACAGGTGCACAAATTATTCAAGTCCCTCATTCCTCTGGTAAGAGAATTCTGAGGTATATGTTGCAGACTTGTCTCCCAGAGTTTTCCTGTGGGCTAAATGTCAATTCCTCACAAAGCAGGTGATTTGATAGAATACCTTTACTGGCTGCATCCCTTGCCTGTGACATGTCCCCTGTGTCTTTTTGATGCCATCTTCCTTTCCCAAATAAATTACCTGTACTTGCTCCCAAGTCTTCTTGGAGAACCTCACTAAGAGAAACATGAAATGCTTTTTAATACTCTTTTTTTGGGGGGGGTACTGGGAATCAAACTCAGGACCTTGCACTTGCCAGGCAGGTGCTCGTGCTGCTGAGCTATATCCCCATCCCCTACTTTTTAACACTTTTTAAAATGCTTTTTAATACTTTCCACTATTTGCTGCAACTTAGATTGTGGATGAGATGTTTCATATCTGTAAAATGTTCATCCCCAAATTCCCTAAATGCTACAAACCATAAGAACAGAGCCCAGATGATCTCTATAACTGTCCTCTAAAGTATGTACATGTGTATCATACAATTATCTGCTTGCATTTTTGCTGTGTTTGGGATGAATGTTCTCCAAAAATCTGTGATAGAGTTTATCCTGAGTGTTGTTGGGAGGTACTACAGATCTTTAGAAGGGAAGCCCACCCTTACATGTTATTTTGGGACTTTAGTCTCACTATCTCTTTCTCTTCGCTTCTTGGACCATGGTGGAAGTGGTTTTTCTCCAACAGACTCCCACTATGATGTGCTATAGTAACCAGAGGCCCAAAGCAATAGCGCTGCCCAATTTTTAGACTGACACTTCCAGAACCATATGCTAAACAAACTTTTTTCCTTTTTAAGTTAATTGCCTTGGGTACTTCGTTGTAGTAATATAAAGCTAATACAATTGTATATCGTGATTATATAAAGGAAGAAAGTTAAATCAAACTGGGTATATAGAAACCCCCAAAGCTCAAAAGTGACAATGAGCATCTCTGTTACAGCTTTTCCCGCAATATGGGAAAACCTGAAGCATCCAGTGAAAAGTCTTCCTTGCCTCTTGCCTATCCACCAGGTCCCACCACAACCCCACAGGTAATTACAGATACTAGTTTGTTATGTTTTTTTCCAAAATGTCTTTACAAATTAAAAAGCACCAGGTGTGGTGCATGCCTGTAATCCCAGCACTCGGGAGGCTGAGGCAGGAGGATCATTGCAAGTTCGAGGCCAGCCTAGGCTACAAAGTGAGCTCACAGCCAGCCAGAACTGCATAGTGAGACCCCGTCTGAAAAAAGACAAAAAATAGGGGCTGGGGATTTAGCTCAGTGGCACAATGCCTGCCTGGCAAGCACAAGGTCATGAGTTTGATGTCCGGTCCTGGAAAAAAAATCAAAAACAAACAAACAAAAAAAGACAAAAAATAAAATAAAAATAAAGAACTATTTCAAAAGCACTAATATTAAAGTAAAAATTTAAAAAAAATTAAAAGGCAATTCTTTCTCTTCTTATAAGGACATCAGTCTTATTGGGGTAGGATCCCACCCTTATAATCTCATTTTTCACCTTAATTATCTCCTCAAAGGTCAAATACAGTCACATTTGGGAATAAGACCATCAATATAATAATTTAGACACTGAGGGCATAATTTGGTCCATAACATGACCTTTAAAGTATAATGAATAAGAAGAATCAAGTTATATTGTGTACAGGTACAAATTCTCTATGATGAATGTGATCATTACGTATATATAAATGTATCAATATAATCTGATTTAAAAAATAAATAAAGTATAGTGAATAGTGCCTGATACCCAATGCTCAAAAAAGGGGGAAAACGGTAATGATTAGTAAAGAGGCTCCTGGGAAAGGGAATCCACACCAGGAAGCATATAAACAGAGGTACTGCAACTCCTCATCTGCCAAATATCTGTGGTTGATCAGTTAATAAAATATCTCACCCCTGGATTTGTCCATGTGGAGACCTCATTCTGCCATCCAGCAAGGTCTTGTGTGTGTGTGTGTGTGTGTGTGTGTGTGTGTGTGTGTGTGTGTGTCTTTTTGAGACAGGGTTTCCATATGCAGTTCAGTCTGGCCTTGAGCTCACTTTGCAGTCCCGGCTGGTCTCAAACTCACAACAATCCTCCTGCCTCAGCCTCCCCAGTGCTGGGATTACAGGCATGCGCCACCACGCCCGGCTCAGCAAGGTCTTGTACTGAGCATCTGGAGAAGGCAAACCTCACCAACTGGGCCTCTGGGTGATGAAAACAAATTTCCCCGCCACGGTTCTGTGTCATAGAATTTGCATTCTTTTCTAGCTGCAGATCTATACCTTTCCTTACAAATTCTTCATCTTCCCTTGTAAAATGTTAATTGTATGACCATGGGTTTAAGTTATATCTTTCTCCTCTGCCCTCTAAATTTTAAGCCATGTGGAGCCCATGTCACTCCCTTAATTGTACAGTCCGCTTCATGATTCAGATTGTCTTCAAATGATCCCCAAATACCAACCGTGAGTCACAGGGTAAGATGCTGCAGCCCCTGCAGGAACAGCCTTGTGAGCAATAACTAATCTAGCATTTATCTCAAATTTTTATTTCTCCACATTATCATCAAGGTTTTTGCCTCCTTCTATCTACAATTTCTCATTTGAGTTGACTTCATTTTCCTAGAACTATTGTGTGTGTGTATGCGTGTGTGTGTGTGTGTGTAGTGTGGCGCCAGACATGGAATCCAGTTCCTTACACATGCTAGGCAAGTGCTGTACCACTGAGCCACAACCTCAGCCCTTAGAACAATTCTTATAACTCTTCGGTTTAATAAACCACAATCTTACTTAGAGACATTTCCTCTCAGAAAACAGGAAGGGCTTTAAGCTTTTGTTACAAGGTGATTTTTAGTGTCAGAGGCAGGATTACATCTGCATCCTTAGGAACATAACAAATTTCTACAATTTCTAGTTTCTCCTTTAATGATATACATCAATACTGAAATCTGGGAATTCCTTTGTTAAATACTAGTGATTCTACGGGCAGCCAGAGGATTGGGAACAATAGACCTTCTGTCACCAGCTTGACCTGGGGGCTGCCTTAAAGGAGCCACACGTTCAGTGACTGCAGAGATGGTAGTAGGAGGCTGCAGCTAAAGCACCGAGCCAGCTGGATGTTGTGTTTTATATAATAGGTTCGTGGGTCAAGGAAATAAAAATGCAGGCTTTTGCTCTGTAGATGAAACAATGTCTCAGAATAGCTTACTCCCAAGAAAGAAGAGTACAATGAGTCACTGAAGTTACTTGCTGGTGCTTATAAATCATTGCATTGTTCCACCCACAAAATCAAAGGTGGAATTTCCTTATGTGATGTTTTTTACATCCATTTCGGTAAGTAGAAAGTATCTGGAGAGCCAATATTTAAGATGCATTTGCAATATGATGGGACCCATGAAAAGAACAGTGAGGGACATGTAACTAACAAAAAATGAACTATTGATAACCACAGTGACAAACATGGATGAATCTCATAAAATAATGCTATGTAAAAGAAAACAGAGACTATACAAAGCTTAAAAAATAGGTAAAAACCAAACTGCAGTATTAGAAACGCATCCTTAAGGTGATAGAACAAAAAGAAAAACAAAGACATTATTATCGTAAATGTAAGATAGTAGTCACCTCTAGGTACAAGGGACAGGCTAGTAATAAGAAGGGCGGCATGGGCTGGGGATTTAACTCAGCAGCACAGCGCCTGCCTGGCAAGCACTAGGTTTTGAGTTCGATTCCCGGTACAGGAAAAAAAAAAAAAAGAAGAAGAAGAAGAAGAAGAAGAAGAAGAAGAAGAAGAAGAAGAAGAAGGGAGGGAGGATTCTAGTATACTGGAAATTTTCAGTTTCCTGGCGTGAGTGGTGGTTAAGTGAATGTCTGCTTTGTGATAAATCATTCAGCTCTATCCACTTAAGTATGGTTCACTTTTCCGCACTTCTATTGCACAAATAAGATTTTGAAAAAACTACTCTCCGAGAGCAGCCAAAGAAGTTTAAAAATTATAAGAGGGTAGTGTTATTATAATGCTTTCATAATTTATATGATTGAAGATACACGAACCAATGGGGGGAAAAATAAGGGTCCCTTAAAAAGACCATGAATCTAGAATATTCTGGTACATGATAGTGGTGGCATTATAACCCCTGGGGAACAGAGAATTTATAAGCATCCGAAGATGGGGCCTTGAGGATGCCTAGAGGAAATAATCTTGTAAAAATTTCCTTATAAACATTAAACTGTTAGAAATGTAAATCACGGCCCCGCCCTTCGACCCTCCGCTGTTTCACATGCGTTGGCACTTCTGGCCACTAGGCGGCATCCGGAGGCGCGAGGGCGCCCAGGTAATACGCATGCGCGGGTCCCGCGGCGGACTGTACGCTTGCGCATCGCCGGTGCACGGAGCGGTCACAGGTGCGCATTGCGCTCGCGTACATGCAGCTGTGCGCACCCCCCTAAGCGCGCTGTCCCGTTGTTTCAGTTTTCCTGGTAGCGGCTGGACAGACCCTGCGGTCCGAGATGTCCCAGCTCCCCACAGACATCACTGTCTTGCAGACGGTCGTCACGGATGGCGAAGACGGCTTCCCTCCGGCGGAGGTAGGCGGCGGAAGGCGGGGCCCGGCCCCGATGCGGCCCGAGGAGGTCCGGGGAGGCCCGGTGGCGGCGGCGGCGGCGGCGCGGAGAGCTCGGACCGGGAGCCCGGAGCTCGGCTGGGCAGCGGGCGACGAGGAGCCGCAGGAACTGCAGCCCTGCCAGCTTGGGCCGAGCCTAGAGACACCGGCCTGGCTGGTCCACGCCAGCCGCAGGTGGGAAGGGCCAGGGATGCGGGGCAAGGGGCTCTCTGACGGGGGCTGAAACTGAGCCGAGGTCCTGTCTCCTCCCTCTGTTCCCTAGACAGTGGCTGAGCATGGAGCTGTCCCCCCGCAGCCCTCCGGAGATGCTGGAATCGGATTGCCCGTCACCCCTGGAGCTGAAGTCAGCCCCCAGCAAGAAGATGTGGATTAAGCTTCGGTCTCTGTGAGTCCCAGGCCGGGGGATGGGGGGAAGGGACCTCAGGGAGCTGGGAGCGTGTGTGTGTGTGTGTGTGTGTGTGTGTGTGTGTGTGTGTGTGTGTGTGAGATGGTGGTGGTGGGGAATAGCTGGAGCCGGGCTGGTAAATTGTCCTGGGCACTCGTTGGCAGGTGCGAGGAAACACGACCGTGACACGCGTGTCCAGGCCACATGTTCAAGACATGTGCGGAACAAGCCGGTTGGCTGGAGCGGGTTTA